AATTAAAATAGCTAAGGGTGATGATCTGACTTGAAGTGTGTGTTTTGCTCCCGCTGCATCACAGCGGGAGGAGCTGCGTGTCTCCGTCCTGTCAGATTAGACTTCACTCCATATGTCCATATCGAGATAAAGATAAATAATCTGAATTCAAGGAGGAGCTCCTGTAGATGTTGCACAAAGAACTGTAGCATGGTCAGTAGCGACTGGAGCACGATAGCAACCCTGCGATCCGCCATTGTTGTTGTTAACGAAACACTTCAGCAATGATGCGGGGTACGCGGAGAGGTGGGGAGAGGCGGGGAGAGGCGGGGCTATGAAACGGGTGACCGTATAGGCGACCACACGGCCCCGTTGGACCCCCCAGAGCGCTCCGTTCCCAGATCTATCCACCTTTGGACCCGTTGTCGTTTGCGGGGTCTGTTTCTACGTTTCCGTTACGGCATCGTTGAGCTTAAAGGGCTATACGCATGAGAAATATGCGGATTCAACCCGTTTTCGTCCCCGTGGAGCCTAGGCCTTAGTCCCTGCATTTAAAAAGCGAACAGGAGGCTCCAGCGGTGTGAATTATATAATGAAATATGATGCAAGAAGTCCAGTTGGCATTTTAGATCCATGAGTTTGAAGGCTTATCAGATGCAATAAAATGTAAAAACAGGATGTAAAAAAGTAGTATTTCATTGAGTTATCGCCCGTGTTGTTTCTACCTTTGATGGTGTCAACTTACTGCTTTGAAATCTAATGAATTAGTGGACTTTGCATGGTTGATACATGGTGCAGTTTTCTGTCTGAGCATGCATATACTTCTCAGACTTGTGCAGAACTTAAAGACTCCTTTTAGTCTCTTCTTTGATTTATCGGTTGCAAAACTGCTCTCATTATCCCTGAGACTTTACTTTAACTACCTTACCATAGATTGTTAGATAAAGCAAAATGCAACCAGCAAGAACCAACAAGACTGGATACTCCCTGCTTCTCTCTGTGTTTATAATACATAAAAGTAAATATCTTGACAGTCTTGCACACATGAAGTAAAAGCTCTCTTTATGCCCTTCTTTAAACGTGTTGTGTGGACGCCGGACGTTTTTTAAGAAGCCGCCGGCTCACCATCTGTGTTCTGCACAATGTTTCTGTGAGCGAACAGATGCAGCGCTGAATAAACTCCATCTATCTGCAGCTCTCTAACACCGACCAGGTGGGAGTCAGCGAACAATGATCATTCTCCACTGGCAGCAGTGGGTCTAAAGCTAATGGTCCTGATGGGAGAAGGGGGGGGGGGGCGGGCTGTCAGATGGGAAACATGCATTGTGGAAATATGACCTTCGAGCAGAGAGGGAATAGAGTGGTGCATGGATGTTGTATTTCTATAGTGGACCCTGAAGGCAGCATCTGAATCCAATGGGATTTCTCCATGTGATTTTGGATTATGTCGGAAAATAATCTTAATTGCAAACAAACGTTTATGATTCTTAGTTTAGTTCAGCAGGATAATCTCCACATATTAACACCACTTTATGATTTCTGAAGTAAAAAGCTAACGTTAGGCTATAAAGGAACTACAGCACGGTCACATGACTTCACGTCACCACCGCTAAGCTAAAGGTGGTTAATGTTGGGCTATAAAGGAACTACAGCACGGTCACATGACTTCACGTCACCACCGCTAAGCTAAAGGTGGCTAATGTTGGGCTATAAAGGAACTACAGAACGGTCACATGACTTCACGTCACCACCGCTAAGCTAAAGGTGGCTAATGTTGGGCTATAAAGGAACTACAGCACGGTCACATGATTTCACGTCACCACCGCTAAGCTAAAGGTGGCTAATGTTGGGCTATAAAGGAACTACAGAACGGTCACATGACTTCACGTCACCACCGCTAAGCTAAAGGTGGCTAATGTTGGGCTATAAAGGAACTACAGAACGGTCACATGACTTCACGTCACCACCGCTAAGCTAAAGGCGGCTAATGTTGGGCTATAAAGGAACTACAGCACGGTCACATGACTTCACGTCACCACCGCTAAGCTAAAGGCGGCTAATGTTGGGCGTGATGACGTATTTTATGTAGTAGAACCATATGTTAAAATCTCTTCAGCTTGTGTTAACCAGAGATCTTATTTCAGGCTAACAACCAAAAACACATCCAGAAAACCATTGACTTCCAGACCAGGGGACAGGAAGTGCTGATCGAATCAGTACTCATGACTTTACCACAGTCATGATCATTCACCACTAAAAAAAATAAAGACACACAATTTGTGCAATGATGCATGCAATCATATACCTGCTGGTACACACACACTCACTCTCACACACACACAAACACATCAATCAATGCTCTCTTTGTATAACAGCTAGTAATCTCAGCATCACATGATAGCACGATCATCATCTTCAGACCGAGCTCTCAACACCACTTTCATTATGATGTAACCACCACTGTAAGCTCCCAGGAGTTATACAGCCTGTGGTGGCCATATTGGATGCCTCCAACCCTAGGGACAGTGTTAGCTAAGAAAAGTGTTCCTAAACCTAATACCAGAGTTACATTACTCCTTTAGGATTATGTGTTAAGAAGTCCAAGTAGACAAACCATTAACAAAGTGTATGGAAGTAACAGTAGACTCTAGTAGCTGCAGCTTGGATTACATCTTATGTCATAAAACCTAAATATTGAACTTAAAGACATTCGGACGCAGCAGAGAATAATTATCTCACAATCTGCCAATTTGTCAGCAGAATATATTGCATTTTTAGATCTGAATCATGCCGCAGATACTCAAAATACAACATTTCCCTGACCCTAACCAAGTAGTTGTGTTGCCTAATCAGATTCTGCACAGTAGGGGGCAGATGTCACTCTCGTGTTCCTTAAAGAAGTAATGGTTGGGCATGTATAGCTTGCAGTGGATTTGAATTATTATAGGTAAGATGAACCTTTCCCAAATGCATTTTGACGCCCAGTTTGAAACATTAAATAGATCTCCCCAACAACCAAAAGCTAATTCAAAAGACTTTGAGACAAGCAAACCAGAAGTGCAAAATTCTGACTTATTTCCAGGTTTTCTGACTAATTCCTGCACCACTCTGAAACCCTGAAGCCCCTGCAGAGAAAGCAACATCCCCTCCTTCTGTTGAGATCAGGAAGATACCATTAAATCACCTCCTTCCATGAATATAGGTAAGGGAATCGTCCCCTCTCCCATCAGAGTCCCTGTGGGGGGGTTAGCCTGAGGATATTAAGACATCATCTTTTCCACGACTCCTCTGCTGGGGTGTGAAACAGAATAAGAGAAAGGCATGGTCCCCCCCTGAGGCTAATGGAGCATGAAGTGGACCTGAGCTATAAATGCTGATGCAATCAAAGGATGCCAATAACCTGTGAAATGCAAACTGTTCCTGTGGATGGGAATGGAGAATTGTCTCTGCATCCTGTTCTGTTTTGGCGTCACACGTGGATGTTGGACAACATGTTCTGAATGATGCAACTCCTCCTCGCTGTGTGAAATACTGGCCTGTAACTCAACTCCAGTAACTCAGAAGATGATTGATGCTCCCCGCCTTACTGATAACAAAACAGACATTAACAGATAAGATCTTATTCGACAGACACAATGCTGTCCACTCATATTAAAGGGTAACTTCTCACACTTACAGTTTACTATCCCTTAGGCCATGTAGTCCAACATATAATAAGCAAACTACTAAACTAATAAGGAGATTAGAGACCATTTGTGCCAATGATATGCAACAGTGTGTCTCACACGAATGAAGCAGTGTGTGAATCTCGACCATGTAAGGTTGTCTCAAATGGCACATGGCGGCTGTGCATGTGAAGTGATAATCGCCACTTTCATTTTCGTAAAGCACTTTGGATTGCCTTGTGTTGAAATGTGTTATATAAATAAACTTGCCTTGCCTTGCCACTGTTGGATAGTTAGAGAGCTAGCGGTACCAAATCATTACAAACTGCTCAGTCAACCCAAATCTCAACTGTGTTTAATCTGGTCAAAATGAACCTTGGCTTCTTATCAACACCATGTAGTGTACGTTACATAAATGGTGAACAAAATCCACATGTATAACTTTTATTTGTTTAGTTCTGTGTTCACTGAGGATTACTTCCATGACGTAGCCAAGATGGTGGTCGTTGAGTGTGATATTATGCTCATTTTGAGGTTGATATTTGTATTTTGTGCCTCTAAGTAATGCCCCTTTAAGTATTACAAAACTTGACTTTGACAGTATCTTGAACATCTTAATTTCTCCTGAACCTAATCAAGAAATGTTGTGGGGATAGGATAAGGTAAAAAACACCATATCACTTCCTAAAATTCACCTTTTTATTAAAGCTTTTAACTAATGATGACACCACTCTGTTGTACTCGACATCCATGCAATATTTGGATTACTTCCATGACGTAGCCAAGATGGTGGTCGTTGAGTGTGATATGATGCTCATTTTGAGGTTGATATTTGTATTTAGTGCCTCTAAGTAGGGCCCCTTTAAGTATAACATGACAGAAACTCAACTTTTGTCAGATTTTTGCTGAACCTACCAAGAAATGTTGTGGGGATAGGAGGGAATATAATACGTTTATTATACGGTTACATATAACGTTGTCCATAAACTACATGTCCCACAATGCATCTCATTTTGTGACATGCGCACTGAAGAGACTAGCAATTATTTGTCCTAGACTTCTGCTTTCAGACGTAGTTAATTATGAATTATTACCCTATCCAATAATAATCTAATGCAGAGGCAATAATGTAATATAATACACTATTTTATATATATTATATATTTATATAGTCTTAAAGTTACAAGCGGCCCTTTGAGTGCAACCGTAATGAAAATGTGGCCCGCGATTAAATTGAGTTTGACACCTCTGATGTAAAGCACTTTGTGACGTAGTTTTGAAAAGTGCTGTATAAATAAATAAAGTTATAAGGAAAGTTATATCAGCACACTGTGGAAAGTCAGGTGTGTAACTCACACTCTTTGGACATCCCCACTCCGAAGCACTTCTGCAGGCGGCAGTACTGACAGCGGTTCCTCGTCACCTTGTTGATGATACAGTTTTTGTCCCGGTGACACGTGTACACCATGTTCTTCTGGATGCTACGCCGGAAAAACCCCTGAGGAAACAGACAGAAAGAAGAGAAGAGGGGGTTATTCATGAAAAGGAGACGTTAACCTAATTTCCCTTCTAATCTGCAGCCTCCTGTTTTTCTAAAACACTCACAAATGAAATCCCCCAGCCGCTGGATATCCTAATGTCACGAGTCTGTACAACAATGTGCTGGATGTTTTGTCTTTGCCATTAAGGAGAGACGAGAGAGTCCCTGCTGGGCGCTTCAAATGCTCGGAAACAGAGAACCTCGGGGTATCAAACAGAGGGAGGATGAGGCTTTATGGAAAAATATCGGAGGATTTTGAGCGGCACGTCTGAAGGTGACTTTGAGCTCCAGTTGAAGACCAAAGACTCTTCGCTTTCAAAGAAACACTTTCATTGTAATTCAGCAGAACAGCGGTTAATAGCTCTTAATTAGGCTCATTCAATGGGTAAAAGAGATATAAGGAATTAAACTGGACTTGTCACATACACATTGGAGCCTGAGGCAAGGAAATTGTATGAGAAAGCCTATAAAAATATATACAAATACAATCAAACTAAGTTATGATATGAACCTATGAAGCAGAGATGGTCAACAGACACTAGCTCACAATGGTATTAATTAAGTGGCCAGAGTCCAATTAAGAAAGGCTCTAGTTGGACATGTGTTAGGTGATATGCACGCCTAATAATCACACTTAATTCCATTTCTTTTTCAATTCATTGCCTCCACCAAGGACGTTATGTTAAGCAAAAGTTGCTTTGTTTGTCAGAAGGATTACGGGAGAAATGAAAAGCCCTATGCATCAATGGCAAAGATTAGGATTAGGGTTACGTTTTATATAAAGTATTACACAATATGTGAGCTGTTATAACATAAGAAGCATATTTTGTGCTTGTTCTGAAACACACAATACATCAAGCCAGCATTGTTTGCAGTAAAAACAAATGCTTTCTTACAAGCAGAATTCAATTCTCTATTTCATTTGTGACTTTTAGTTTTTTAGATGTATCAATATTTAGTTTTTCGAGGCCAGGAAATAGATAAATAAGGACGTCACGCATCCGTTAGCTGACAAAATATGAATATTATTTCAGTGTTGGTACACAGAAACAGATTCTCTGTAAAGTGACGGAGAGCAGAGGAGCGATCTCTTCTTCTTCTTCCTCTTGATATTAATATTCCGATGCTCTGGGGTCTTTTGCAATGACCGTCCATCATGCAGGCCCTTGTGCACATGTTTGCAGGCGTTTGTGCCTGAGGAGCCTCGTTCAGTATAAGTGTGTGTGTGTGTGTGTGTGTGTGGGGGGGGGGGGGGTTAAAACTCCATTTGCCATCGTGCCTGTGACAAATGGGACCTTGCCTTTTCATTAGAGAAGCAGGATGCATGATGGGTAACAGATTAGATCACAGGACTGAAACGGCTGAGTTTCAAGCATCCGTCAACCTCCAGATCCCCCCAGCACGGATACTAACAGCCAATCAGGTATCAGCTTCAGTCCCGAGGTCACCTCCCCTCCGTCCGTATTATTCACTCTCCTAATAGAGGCCTTTATCCTGGCTGATATAAGCTGTGTGTGTTCAGAGATACACCTGAGGGTCTAATAATGGATGACCATATGAGTGTGTTCAGGTTCGGTGAAGAACCCAAGGATGCTCCGGTACTTATGTCATCCAAAACTGAGAGCATGCAGGTCACTTAGCCTTCAAAATCTGTGTGTGTGTGTGTGTGTGTGTGTGTGTGTGTGTGTGTGTGTGTGTGTGTGTGTGTGTGTGTGTGTGTGTGTTGGGGTTATACCAGGAGACAGTGTGTGTGTGTCGTGGTCTCGCTGCAGATACATTTGCATTTCGTGAGCTTCGGCTCTTTGCAGCAGGTTTGTTGACGGTTCAAGGCCTGCAGAGCTGCCGTCATTTGAAAACTTCCCTCATGCACATCATTGATACTGAACATTAAAAATATATGAAGAGATGGGGGAAGGAAACTTTTTTAAGAAGTTATCGAGTGTTTACTTTCACAAAACTTGTGTTTCAGGACAAGAGTTATTTAGCTTCTCTTTGCCACAAGATGTGATGTTTTATGTAATCAGATCCAGCTGGAACAAGGTCTTCAGGCCGTCTTTAAAACTGTTTTAATTAGACCTACTTTATACTGAACAATCTTTAAGAAATCTTCTAGTGAGGATGTCTCCCCAGAGTTTCCTTGCAAAACTGTTGTCCCTGTTACTCTGAATAACGCAGACATACTTACTGGGATATTTCTTTAAGATTTCGAATAAAAACTGTTTTAAAGGTGGCCTATATAAGCTTTTTAAAAATGTAAAAACTGGTGCGGAGAGTGTCTTTTTTCTACCTTCCATTGTATGTAATTGCAGGCACATAACTCAAACTCTCTAAACCTTGCACGAGCAAATCACAAACTCTTTCAAACGTGGGTAAAGAAACATTAAAGGTAGGGTAGGTAAGTTTGAGAAACCGGCTCGATATCGCTAGAATTTGAAAATACACAACCGGAGAAAATCTGCCACTTCCTTACAGAGCCCCTCCTCCAACACACACGAACGCGCACATGACCAATGAGGGCACGAGATAAGTTTGTGCACAGATGGAAGGCTGACAGGCAGGTAGGCCATCCAGTTATTTTAGCCGGGCCGGCTAAAATGATTGGTCGTGCTTTTTACAGTACTACAGCTTCCACAGATGACATTTCTTTATGGATTTTTTGTCAAAGCACTGGTTTCTCAAACTTACCTACCCTACCTTTAATAGAGTTAAAATGCATAAAATGACCTCCGAGTACAAAGCAACTCTGAACTTCCAATAGATGATCTCTTGCATATGTGGCTTTGAAGCACTTCTTTGGGTAAATAAATGATAGGATCAGAGGTTTCCGCTGAATTAATCAAGGATGCTAAATTCATCTTTCTCTCAAAGCATCTATCTGCTTACAGCGCGACTTCAAGATAATCCTTTCAGTTTGAATCAAAAGCTCCTGAATGGATTATAAAATAGCTCTGTTGATCATGGTTTGAATCCAACTCGATAACAAACATTTCTATACGAACCAGGGAGAAAATATGCTTATACTTTATCCAATTGAAAGGCACCCATATAAAAATGTTTTTACATCAAGCTAACAGCTAAACTGTGTTTGTCCAGATTACACTCTATTCATATTTGGAATATAAAGCTTAGGTTAAAAACTCAACCTTATTCTATATAACTTCTGCGTAAAATCTTTATGAAAAAAGTCTTAGGGTCTGTGTTTTGGGGTGGAAAAGCCCGATTTGTCAGCTTACAAATCCGGCTTTTCCACTTATACATTAAGACTTTTCATGTTTTAGGGTTAGGGTTAAGGTTTATAAGATCCTAATACAACTCCTGAACGATGAATGCTAGAGTGATGCAATTTGGTGTGTGTAATGGTCTCCTTTCTTCTCTCATGTGTACCAAGTTTGGACCCTCTAGCCTCTTCCTTTGCTATCATTGACACCCATTCTAACTGATCCTCAACACCGGAGCCCCTCAAGGCTGCGTGCTCAGCCCTCTCCTCTACTCCCTGTTCACACACAACTGCGTGGCCACACACAGCTCCAACACCATCGTGAAGTTTGCTGACGACACTATCAGTGTGTTAGAATCAGGGGTTCCCAACCTTTATTGTGCCAAGGACCGGCAGATACATAAAAAAAAATCACGGACCGGTTGTCAATTTGAACTGATTTCAATATTTACTCACCAGCAGGTAGCAACAGAGACTAATTGTATGTATTGTTTATTTGCTCCTTTTTACACCTGATTACCATCCAAAGCCTGCATGAAGTACCCTGAAGAAGTATGCACATACAGCTAGTGTGTGTGTGTGTGTGTGTGTGTGTGTGTGTGTGTGTGTGTGTGTGTGTGTGTGTGTGTGTGTGTGTGTGTGTGTGTGTGACACTGGCATTTGTTTTCAGAAGATATTATGATAGTGTCGTTCGTTCCGGTGCACACACACATCATGCGCCTTGGTGACCGGACATCTCCTTCATAAAACCAGTAATAGGGGGAATAATCGGGCAGTTCGATATGTGTAGAGGTGTGTGTGGTTAACACGTAGCAGCCTGCAGTCACTCTTAAGTTGTTCTGCACTAATCAGAGGCGGAGTTACACGTCCCGCTACCTCCTGATGCTGCAGCCATTTCATAAGATGCCTTTTTGGCGACAGAACAATCTTTAAGATCCTCTCAGTTCTTTCGTCATACTCTTCACTGACTTTGCACAAGTGTTCTATCTCTTATATAATCTCTAACTTGAATCACAAGTCTGTGTTTCTGTTTTTTTATATGCTAATGTCCTGAGTGTTTAGACAATGGATTTAAGATGTTGTTTTCGTGCATGAATCTCCAGTAGTTCCTCAAACAGATGCTGGACTCTCTTCACTTTAACTCTACAAACCCACAGAGAAACACAATGCATGAGAAGACTCGATCATCACATCGGCTCCGTTCCTCTTCCTCAGTCTTCCTCCTCCTCCACAGTGTTGACCTGCAGACTCTGCTGTGATATTTGTCAGCTCCTGTCCTGCAGGTTTACTAATTTAAAGCTTAGAAATGTGCAACCAAAGGACACCCTTGAGCTGAGTGTTGTAAAGGTGTTTACTAAGATATAAAAACAGCGTGGTGGTTAAATAAATGATAGGATCAGAGGTTTCTGCTGAATGAATCACTCAAAACACAAGGATGGTAAAACTCATCTACCTCTCACAGCATCATCTGCTGTAGCACGACTTCAAGGTAATCCTTACAGTTTGATACTGAAGCTCCTGAATGGGTTATAAGATAGGTCTGAAACTCTGTTGATCATGGTTTGAATCCAACTGGACAACAAACGTTTCTTTACAAACCAGTAGACAAAGGATGCTTATACAATATCCAGTTGAAAGGCATCTATAGAAGTTTTGTTTACATTAAGCTGAGAGCTAAACTGTGTGTATCAAGAATACACTCTATTCATATTTGGAATATAAGGCAGTGGTTAAAGACTGG